AGGACTGAGCTGCAATGGCTTGGAATCAAAACATAGATCTGCTTCCTGCAGATCTAGGAAATGGACGACAAAATGAAGTAATCACTTCAGATCCACTATTTCTTCATAGCTCGGATCATCCGGGAATGACATTGGTTACAGCACAATTAACTGGTAAGAATTTTTTAGCATGGAGTAGATCAGTAAAAATAGCCCTTGGAGCGAAGATGAAGTTAGGGCTTATTGATGGAAGTGTGGAAACGCCGGAGAAAACTTCACCAAATTACGAAAAATGGCTGAGAGTCAACTATATGATTACTTCGTGGTTATTGAACTCGATTTCAAAAGAAATTGTTGAAGCATTCCTGTATACCAGCACTGCTAGAGAGTTATGGATGGAAATTGAAGAGAGGTTTGGGACTTGCAACGGTCCTATGTTATATCAAATTCAACGAGAAATCAGTTCTATCTCGCAAGGTAATATGTCGATTTCAGAATATTACACAAAGTTGAAGAGGTTGTGGGATGAATTAACTTTTCTAATGCCTATACCTGAGTGCACCTGTAATTCAGCCAAGGCAGTATCAGAAATAACATCATTCAATAGGCTTATGCAGTTCCTAATGGGATTGAATGATGAATATGAACCTACACGAAGCCAAATCCTAGTTATGGATCCTTTGCCACCTGTAAATAAAGCGTACTCAATGATCCAAAGAATTGAAAAACAAAGGGAGGTTCAAATATCCTATGGAGAACATATTGAAGTTAGTGCTATGAATGTTAAGACACAGGGGTATAAGAAGTTTGGAGGAGGTAGAGGATATGGTAGGAAGTTTGAAATGAGCAAAGAGGAAAAGAGAAATCAGATTTGCACAAATTGTAATATCGCAGGACATAGCAGAGATTGCTGTTTTAAATTGATTGGGTATCCAGATTGGTTTAAACAACTAAATGAACAGAAGAGAAAGGCTGGAGGAAAGTTTGTATCATACATGGCAGAGTCACCATTGGAATTAGGAGATGAAGTCAACACTGGAGGAGTTGAAGACCAATACAAAACCATGAATATTTCAGAAATCATCAAACAGGAACTGAGGAAAATGGTGAATGAAAAAGGAACCAGTTCTGGAAACAGAGTAAATTTTGCTCATATAGACGATTTTGCAGGTTCGATTCTTAAGCTTGATTTTAATTCTGCTCTAAGTGCTTCCAATGAAATAGGATCTAAGTCTTGGATTGTGGATACTGGTGCCTCCAATCACATGTGCAATGACCTTTCTTCACTTAAAAATCCTGTACCAGCAAACAAATCCATTCCTGTGTTCTTACCTGATGGCACTATGAATTTTGTCAAACACTTTGGTAATGTCCATTTACATGATAATCTCATCCTCACTGACACTCTTCATATTCCCACCTTCAGGTTTAATCTCCTATCTGTAAGTAGGTTAACCAAGGCTTTAAACCTGAAATTCGTTTTCATGAAGGATTATTGCCTTTTGCAGGACCTTTTGACTGAGAAGATACTAGTTGTAGGAAGGTTGATAAAGAACTTATATATACTTGATCAGACCTCTTTCTATCCTTCTACCATTGAGTCTTTCATTTCTATTTCCTGTAATGCTTTCTCTTCAAATAATTCTTCACTTGTTGATAATAATGAAACCAGAAGTGAGTCTGTTATCCTTTGGCATAGAAGGCTTGGACATGTTTCCAGCAATGTAATGCAACATCTGCAATTGATAAAACCTTTTGAAAAAAAAATTCTTTCACCTTGTGATGTTTGTTCTTTCTCCAAACAACATCGATTATCCTTCAATAGTTGTGATATTAAGACATCTAGCACTTTTGAAATTCTACATGTTGATTTATGGGGACCATATAAACATAGGGCTATATGTGGGGCACATTATTTTTTAACTGTGGTGGATGATTTTAGTCGATGCACTTGGACTTTTTTAATCAGACACAAACCTCAAGTCCTCAGCATTTTGAAAAACTTTCACAAAACTATCAAAACCCAATTTGAAAAGGACATAAAATGCTTGAGGACTGACAATGGAACTGAGTTTACTAATTTCGAATTGCAGAAATTCTTGGCTGAAAATGGTATTTTACATCAAAAGAGTTGCCCTTACACCCCTCAACAAAATGGAATTGTTGAGAGGAAACATAAGCATCTCTTGCAAATTGCTAGAGCCCTTATGTTTCAATCACATTTACCAAAAATGTTTTGGGGAGATTCGATCTTGATGGCAACACACATCATCAACAAATTGCCTACTGCCCTGCTTCACTGGAAGACACCCTATGAAATTTTACATAACAAATTGCCTACCTATCAAAACCTGAGAGTTTTTGGGAGTTTATGCTATGCTACTAACACTAAACCTTTTAAAGAAAAATTTGCACCACGTAGTTTTAAATGTGTTTTGCTTGGATACAGTATAGGGCAAAAAGGTTTTAAACTTTTTGATATTATAAATAGACAAATTTTTATATCTAGAGATGTTATTTTCCACGAGGATAATTTTCCTTATAAAGAGGTTCCTAATTCAAAACCCTCTGTTCCTATACCTGCACCTGATATGCTCTCTGATATTTCATCAGATACCAGTTCTTCTGAAAACCATTTTGATGCTCAACCTTCATCTGTTAGTTCCCCTGTTATTAACCAACCTATGGCTACCTATGATCTCAGTCAAACACAGGGCAATCAATCTACTGATTCTTCAAAATCTAATTCCAATGAGATGATTCATACCCAACCACTTCCTCAAACCAGAAAGAGTACCAGAACAAAAACCATTCCTACTTGGATGCAGGACTTTGTGAGCAATCTTTCATCTTCTATTCCATTCTCTGATCATCTGCCTGAAACATCAAAATCATCTCCTTATACTCCTAACACTTATCCTTTTCATCCATCTCTGACTTTTGGGTCAGATTATTGTCATTTTCTGGCTAACATCTCTACAATCCAAGAACCCAAATCTTATAAAGAGGCTAGCACAAAGATAGAATGGATTCAAGCTATGGAGAATGAACTTGCAGCACTGGAACAGAACAACACCTGGGAGATTGTTTCTTTGCCTCAAGGAAAGAATACCATTGGAACTAAATGGGTTTACAAAGCTAAATTAAAACCTGATGGGAGCCTTGACAGATGTAAAGCCAGGTTAGTTGCCAAGGGATATAATCAAGTGGCTGGTATTGACTATGTTGATAGCTTCTCACCTGTGGCGAAGTCAGTGACTATCAGAATGTTTTTTGCCATTTCTTCTGCACAAAATTGGCCTGTATTCCAGCTTGATATAAATAATGCATTTTTACATGGCTTTGTGGATGAAGAAATTTATTTGAAACCTCCAGAGGGTTACAAAACACTTGAGGAAGGTCAGGTCTGTAAACTCAAGAGATCGCTTTATGGTTTGAAACAGGCTAGCCGACAATGGAATTCAGAATTTTGCAAACACTTGCAATTGTTTGGCTTCACACAATCGCCACATGACAATTGTCTGTTCATTCTCCATTCTGATCAGGCCATCACGATTCTCCTTGTCTATGTAGATGATGTGCTTATCACTGGGACTGATAATAAGGAAATTCAGAAGGTTAAGGATTTTCTTGACACTACCTTCACTATCAAAGATCTGGGACTTGCTAAGTATTTCTTAGGAATCGAAATAGCTCGCTGCCCAGAGGGTCTTTATCTCAACCAAAGGAAATACGCTATGGATATTGTTAATGATGCTGGTTTGCTTGGGTCCAAACCAGTGGATATTCCATTACCAAAGGGTCATAAATTCACTGCTGAGGGTGTTTCATATCACAAACCTGATCAGTATCGAAGACTAGTGGGTCGTTTACTTTACCTTAATCTTTGTCTTGTGTGTCGTTTACTTTATCTTAATCTTACCAGACCGGATTTATCTTATGCGTGCCAGCAACTCAGTCAGTTCGTTAACTCCCCTACTGTCTCTCATTGGGAATCTGCATTACATCTGCTAAAGTACATCAAGGGAACTTTGTCAAAAGGCCTTTTTTTTCCTTCTTCTAACAATTACAACCTTGCCGCTTATTGTGATGCAGACTGGGCCTCTTGTTCGGATTCTAGAAAATCGCTGACTGGCTACTGTATTTTTTTGGGTGGTGCTCTCATCTCTTGGAAATCGAAGAAACAACAGACCGATTCCCGTAGCTCTACTGAAGCTGAGTACAGAAGCATGGCTGCTACTGTGTGTGAACTTCAGTGGATCACTTATCTTCTTCAAGATCTCTTTATCACTCCTGTTCTTCCTATTCCTCTTTGGTGCGATAATCAGGCGGCTCTCCACATTAGTGCCAATCCGGTGTTTCACGAAAGGACGAAACATCTGGAGATCGATTGCCATGTTGTTCGTAACCAGTACAAGGCTGGTCTAATTCTTCCTCAACATATTTCTTCCTCTCATCAAGCTGCAGATCTTTTTACCAAGTCTCTTCCATCTCCTCAGTTCCGGTTCTTACTGTCCAAGTTGGGATTGATGGACTTTCATCAATCTCCAACTTGAGGGGGGGATGTACAGATTATTTCTTTAGGGACTTAGGCCCTGTTTGTTTCTGATTCTCAAATCAATTCTCATTTTCAACCACACATTCTTCAATAAAATAATATTTTCCATCACATCAATACTTTTTTCTTCTTTTTCAACCACACATTTCCCATCATATCACTATTCAAAATCAATTCTTCCCCAAAAAATCCCTACCAAACAGGCTCTTAATTGTTCTTCTTAAATAGTTCAGTCCTTCTTTGTAATAAAAGGATAGTTTGTTTCAGTTCGTTTTAGTCTGTTTTGCATTTTCCCTCTTTCAGCTTGGTCTATAAATAGACCCGCCATTGCTGTACCTTGTGTGGGCGAGTAATGAATAAAACTAATTGTTCTATTTACTTGAACACACAGTACTGCTAACTGGTGGAGCGCGGGATGTAGTTCTCAAAGTGGACTTCCTTACAAGTGCACTTGGCCGATTAACCAACCAGGGAAGAACCATTGGTTGGTAAACATATCTCATTTTTCTGTTCTCCAAAGTGTCACAAACTTTAACGCAGGAAGGTGGTATTTAGCCAATCTGGGTCCTGGGAATCCTTAGGTTTTGGGCCTCTTAGGTCTCTCCATATTGACCATAGTCGATCAATATTAGCGTGGTGGCTAAAGAACAAGGGTTCTCTACCCGTGGAGTAAAAGTTGCCCATGTCTTCTTGAGTGGGCTGCCTTGGGTCACCAACCCACAGGTGTACTGCATTGCGACAACCACGATCCACTGATCCTGCTCCAGGGGATGGCGGATCTCCTGCAACATAACGTTTTCCATATAAGCACTCAGGTGTTGTTGCGCGAACCAAATCTGTATACACTATGCAGAGGTTGTCACGAATCACTTTTGCGGGAGGCTTGATTTCGTTGGCTCCCGGGCTGTAGCCCAGATCAACGAGTTTTGGCGGAAGATGATTCTGGTTACGCTTATCATCAAACAATGATGAACAAGGGTCCACAAACATGGCGGGCATCGTCATGCCCCCATGAGGATTGTCCCAGTTCCAATAAGGCAAACCAAAATGGGGGTCACCAATCAACTTCCCCATAATTCTTTCGTAAAAATACAAGTACCATCTATGCCAAGGAAGGAAGAGCCAACAGTTGTGAATTTGAAGTTTAACGTTTTCGTGTCCAGTTTCTTCAAAAGTAAGGTTACAGTAAGCGCAATGAACGTTGGCTTGCTGCATGAAACTACGTGGGTCATCAGATGGAAGACCCTTCATGAGTTCAATGGCGCATATTATAGACTGGGGGAAGCTTGTAATCAATGATATTTTGAGATACAGGAGGAGGAGGGCAACAATTAAAATATGTGGCAACTTTATAGCATTAAAATATCAAATGATTCATTTAAATATATATATTATGATTCATTTAATTAAATTTATCGAATGTAATCATCTTAACTGATATTCTAATACCACTTCTACTATACATATTATTCTTTTAGGTGTTGCATGTGAAAGTGGCAAATCCATTCCATATATTTTCGACAGGTGGCATAAGCATTTTATTAAAATTCGTACTTTGAATTTTCAAAGTTGGAAATTTTCTGAAAGTAGCGTCAAACAAGGGCTAATTATATTAACAAAGACAAGTGATGCCTCGCTCTCCCTCCTCTACTTCCACTTTGAAATGCTGACTTGAAGAACGAAGCATCAAACCCTAATTGGTTTGGAGTTGAGTACTTCTTCTATTTCGTTAAGTAGATTAATTTTTAATCTTTTTGTTTTAGTTAAAACACCATCTAGGTTTACGTACCCTACCCACTCTTATCCTCTTATTTCTGTATATGTCGCACACTGTTCCTCTCTAGCCACAGAAACCAGAAGATGAACGAACGAGCCATTATTGAATGTTTTTCTTCGTTCTTCAGAAAACAGTATGGGCATGTTTGGAACATTTATAAAGATTCTGTCCTAATTTTGAGAACTTCTACTTTTAAAATCTCTCATTTCTAATTCTGAAGTTATCAACTTTAATCAAAAGTTAGAAATTTCCACAGACCAATTAAAATGTCAACACACAAGCGGTCCAGAAAATTGGTGAGGAACGTTATTTCCATTTTCTGGACCGTTCGTGTGTTGAATATATATTTTGTGAACATACAATGTGAAATATATATATGAATCTCTTTTTGGAGTTCTAGATGAAGAAGACATAAAATTCGAAAAATATGGAATTAAAAACACTACAATGGCGCCTCGGCGACAACTCATTCACCATAATATTTTTTTATTTTTTTTGAAAATTACTTAAATTGAAATTCCCGACTCTATTAGTATGTCATAAATAGTTTGTGTGAATTCCAAATAACGAGAAAATATTTAAAAAAAAGAAAGAGAATTCGTATTATAATTTCGATCAAGAATTTATGATAAAAAAAACTATTAAGTTTTTGGATGGGGCCCACACGATAATATATTTATGAGACTTTATTACAGAACCAACAACTTTGAGGGGCCGTAGTCTGTTTTGTTAATTATTTAGGTTGGGGTTGTGTGGATAATGTCTATATTAATGGACTTTGTTTGTAGTGCCTAACAATGTTTGTTTCTGCATTCAATTTTTGTCGTGCCATAAATTAATATTTCATTATGGTCCAATTACATGTTTATTTTGTGTAATCATGTCTAATTTTATCGTACGATGGCTTGGCTTGAACTTTGTGGAGTGCCGTTTTTGCTTTTCTAACTTGACGAATATTATAACAGTTCAGTCCAGTGTCCGTGTTCGACCGTCCATTTGAAGATGATGATGAAGTCCCCTCGCCTTTTCAACAAAGACTTGCTCTTATGGAAGGTCAGTTAGCACTCTCTCTCTCGCGATCTCTGTTGGGGTGTCAATAGAATCGACCCAAGTTACCCTGGCTAATTGAGGAGGCATATGCTGACTATAGGGGCTAGTCCGTCTATGGCACAATATGCAGTATATATATATATATATATATATATCTTTTTGGAGTTCTAGATTAATAAAAAGACATAAAATTTGGAAAAAAAGGAATTAAAAACACCACGATGGCGCCACAGGGGTGCCCCAGAAAACAAGCAGGGGAGCCGGCGCCATAACGCCGAGCGGTCTGCCTCTTTTTTTCTCTCCCCACACCAAAAAAATCATTTGCAACATTAAAAATGCAACATTTGTTGATAAATGTTGCTAAAAAGTCTTTTGACAACATTTTAGTAAGTAAATGCAGCCATTGATTAATATAAATAAGTTTTGGCAACGTTTTTTAGAGGAACGTTGCGAAAAGGACCTTTTGCAACGTTTATGGAGTGTTGTGGAAGGTGGGACCTTTCGCAACGTTTAATGAACGTTGCCAAAAGTTTCAACCCTTATTCACTCCTCCCTTGTTAACCCAAACCTACCCCTGCCAAAACCTACTCTTGCCAAAACGCCGAACAACCCATCTCCGGCCACCCTCTGGACCGGAACTTAACGCCGATCGAAAGCCCACCTCAAGACGACCCCAAACATGCCAACAACTCATCCCAAACAACTTGGCCTGGCTCCTTACAAAACCCTAGCTAGCTAGACTTGTATTGATATTATTTCATACTCTTGTATAGGAAAGATATTTTAGCTTATTTTTCTCGTCTACTCTCATTATCGAGAGAACTGCACAATCACAAAATTATCCTCACTTGTATCCCGCCACTATTATAGGCTATGATTGTAAGCACATTATTTTTTTCTTGAACATATTCTCGTTTGTACCTTTAAGACATGACTAATATGTGACTAGTATAGACTTATATTGTAACATCATAAAAGCATTCAATACATTTGAGCATATTTGGGACATGATTATACACGATTTAGATTATAAATAAATAAAAATGAGTTATGAATAAGTGAATAGTACTTGTTATTTCCTCAAAATGTGTGGATACGTTTTAATTGCATCTTAAGAATCTTAGAAATAACCTTTGAAGTGTGTAAAGTTAATCTAGACACCAGGTCGAATTAGTTTATAGGTGTTGGGATCTTGTGATGCAAGTGAACGAGCCATTTAACCTTATATTTATCTAATCGTATAATCTTAATGCAGGTTTGAAAAATATTATAATTTCCTTATAATACAATGGTTGAAGTTAAAAATTGATTTTAGAATAAAACTATTTAGCATAAGTTGTGCTGCAGTACTAGTCTAGGTGACCACGCTTAATTTTAATCACATTCATAGGAACCACATTCTTTACTCACTTATCCAACAATAGGAAGATGAACAACACAAGCTAAGATTTATGATAATATTATTTTATGATTTTATTTTCTAAAATAATTGACATTTTAGAAACAAATTTCATTAATTAGATGGCATTAACTGGCAACGATGAAGATGTTAATATCCAATGACTAAACAAAACTAGAGGCATCTTATCATTCATAACTTCTGATAATTTCACTACATGTTTGAAAGTAACTTATTTCATGTACTAGTTGTTCGATCAAAGGGTCAAAAATTTAGGAGTTGCATTCCAAGTTAAATAGTTCATGGATGATAAACCAAAATCAAAATAAAAAAACAAATGTCCGGTAATTCACCATCCCAAAGGCCATGAAACTCTATTGCTTGAGCAATTTTCTCACGTAGAATCTTATACTTGAGCTCCAAGCTCCAACAGTAAGGTGTGATTAGATTTATAAGATGCTGGGCCAACAAATTGAATGGGACCTGTAATCACAGTGGAAAAAATGAAACGAGTCCAACAGATGAACTATAATTATTGTGCAATCATCATGCCTTAATTTAATAAAGTAGACCAAATACAACCTGAATACTAGATAACAGAATCAGAGAGTGATAATTAAGTATACCAGGATTAATATATCGGTTGTTAAGAGCCCATTCTTCCCGCATTGATGCAAATTTCTTGAACGGGGCACCTGAAATAATTATCCACACTAGGTTTCAGATTGGTTTATAATCACAAAATTACTTGGTATTTGAGCATATAAAGAAAACGCACAATGAAGCATGCAACTACATTCCAGTACAAAAAAATTAAATATGAAATTAAATATGCAAAAATGAGTGCATAATTAGAAAGAAAAAAATATCACCTTCAAGCTCGACCATTGCCTTCTTAATCACAGGCTTGAATTTCCCTGCAAAACAGATCGTGCTTTAAATGAGATATTGAAACCAGATAAAAGAAATATCCAACACCAACACCTATTCTGGTTGAAAATGTTCCATCACAAATTACAATTAACCCAACCCACCCGTCGGATAACTCGCAAAAGAATTAATGCTTCTCAGTGAATGTATAGCTACATGACATGAGAATAATCAGCATACCATGTCTCCTTTCAACATCCATCAAAGAAGTCAATGCTGTTCCACCAACGGTCCATTCTTCAACTGGAGCAGCCAAGTTTCCCACCTGGATAGATGCAACAAACCATATGAACACGTTAGCCTGATCCCAAATTGAGCTGTAAGATTTTATCATATTAGCAACTGAGGCGAAAGTTCAACTTTCAAATTCACTCTAGAATGCAGCTAAAACAACTAAATGGAGCCATAAAATATAGGGAGAAAGTATACGAGCAAAATCACATACCGATGATATCAATCCTGTCTTTCCACTCTCAAGCAGTGCTCCAGCAGCATAGCCCAAAGCATAACAATACATGGCATCAAAATTAGATGGTAAACCACACCTTCCTTCATATCTGTAAAGGTGAAAATCACGCCACAACGAGATATTTAGTCTCATCAAATTTTCTGCCCGATTCTAATCATCGTAAAAGCAGGGCTCAGAAAAGGTGTTTGTATGAGGGAGGCAGGGAGGGAGAGGGAGTAAATGATATCATTAGAAAACTTGTACTAAAATAACAATTACCCAAAAAAGTGGGACTGTCCTTTGAAATGGCCTTTATATACACCCCCTTGCTTCCTTAGCTCCAACTCAGTTTCGACCATTTGAATGAGCATTTTCTCTGTCTCAATTTTAGCAACCTGAAAGGGGGGATTAACATAACGTATAACCCACCTACACATCACAATTCAGAAATATGAATTTAAACATTGAAAAGGTGAAAGCATATACCTGGACATTTCCATGTGGATCCCTTTCAAGCAACAATTGATCCTGGATTGCTGGAGGTAAAAGTTCAAAAAGCTGGAGAGACTTTGGATCAAGTTTCTTTTTCCAAAGACCAGCTTCATCTACAGTTTCTTTGGCCAATATTTCATTTAGTTCTGCAATGA